ATAAATATCAAGAATCAGTGTGATAGACTAGGAAAGATCATTCAGGGTCATTTTATGAATTTTTACTCACAAAGCAGGGACGAAAACTTTTATTCAGACTGTAAGGTTTTAAACCAGACAAATCGACAACCTTGTATTCGGCGTAGATTTTGTAAAATCCCAACCGATTTCCATGGCAAAACAGGTCCCTCCCCTTCATCAGGAGCAAACAATTCTGCAAAAGCGAGAAAGCGAACTTTCTCGCTTTCGCTAAGAGACTTTCTCCCTTTTGCTCCTGATGAAGGAGGAGACGTTGTGCCCTCGAAATTGGTTGAAATTTTAAAACATTTACGCCGAATACAAGGTTGTCGATTTGCCTGTTTTATTTTCCACGTCGGCGTGTTTCTCTTACGCCTTGTAAGGTTTATATTAATTAACACATTATCTTTTATTTTATCTGAGCTGTCACTTCTTATTTTATCACCTCTTACCATAAGGCAAATTAGCTACTAGAACAGAGTTTTTGAAAGTTAGGAAGAGTGCTTTAGTAGCGATGCTTACTCTTGTGATATTTCCTTGTTTAGCTCTGCTAATCACTTTATACCGAAGTTAGACTTTTATTAGCAGAGCTTAGATTAGTTTGACTGAACGTTTGATAGGCCGCAGAAATTGGTTTATAAACATAAGTCGTACATCTGTTAAATTTAAAATTTCAAATATAAAACTCTTTTTTTTTTTTTAAATCTGAGTCAGGATTACTTAAACTGGTGTGGAAATAAGTAATCTATCAGTCTTAAATAAGTGAGTAGATCGCTACAAGATAACTTAAACGGAAATACAGTTGTTCTTCGTTTTAGCTGTCGGAAAGGTATGACATGATTTCATATTGATGTATATAAAAATATTGCAAACAAGTAAAATTTTACCCTTCTTTTCCGAGCATTTTATGGATCCAGTATGTTGGTATATAAAGGTGGGGCTTTGCTGATACACCATTATTACACATGCATCAATACGTTGCCTTGACTTCACAAGTTTCAACAAAACACGTCTTATAAAATATCATTTACTGGTAGTCTTCATAGCTTCTATTCTTAGCAAGCCAAAATGATTTTTAAATTAATCTATTGCTTATAAATAACCAAAGTCTGTCAAACGAGTTTGAATTGTCAGGATAATTTCAAAGTGCATTCTGGAATTTGTGCTTTTAACAATTATGAATGAATGCAAAGATTTTAATTTGTGATCGATTAAATTGTATTATAACCACATTCTTAAATTAAATTAATTCAGTATTAAACGTTTTTTGTAATATAAGGAAAACTATTGTTAAGATAATAAAATGTAATACAAAACTGTTTTACGCCTGTTTGTTTATAGTAAATAATTAAGTAGAATGAGCAGTACAGTAACCACTGTTGAAGTCATGACTGATGTTACTGAAGAAAGCAACTTAATAATTCTACATGAAAGATGTTGCAAAATTAATAAGTTATCATTTTTATCGGGGGTAGGAAATTCTGTACTTTATATTCCCTCTGGATCTGCGATGAAAATAAAATAATGAATTTTATCTAAGCATAAACAATGAGATAGGTCTTCTAATCCCCTAAAGCTTTTAATGACTGAATAAATAAAGAAATGGATAATATATGTGTCTCATTTCAGTTCACTAATTCAGATACTTAATCATCTAAATCTTTCATAGGTAACAACATATTTCATTAAGGGAGATTATATCTTTCCATTTTAGAAACACTTAATGAAGTCAAAATAATAGTAAGTAATTTTTTCTTTGTTTCTAAGAAGATACTAATAATGGTAGGTTATAGGTGGTGATTGCAGAAGAAATACCGAATTTTCAAATTTACAAATATGTTATGCGACATGCCAAACTCGAATGCTTCATTAAATAATTAACATTTTAGGTCAGAATATTCTACTGCGTTACCTTAAATAATCAACTTGTAATTCTTTATACCAGGTTTTCTTAAACTGTGGGTCGAGACCCCAAGGGGGTCGCCAAAAATTTTAGCAGTTTTGATATTTCTTTAACTTATTACAATAATTTTACAGTTACCAAATATTTTTACGCAATGTGTCTGAAAATAGATAAAGATAAGGCAATACAGACAAATTAAAAAACGAAAGGTTTTCGACGCATTCTTTTTATAATATAAACGTTCATTTTCCTTGCTTTGCACGTGACGCTGCCATTTTGTCTGTTATTTATAAAATTTTCATATTGTTATATGTCTTAAAATTAGAACTTTAAGTTAATGACCTAAAACTGCAATAATATATTACAGTACAAGTGAAAAAAGTGACAGTTTCACTCACGCGTGTGTCGGATTTGCGCAATGCTTAAACAATATTTGTAAATATTATGGGGTCCTGGGAGTCGCGACAAAATCTCAGTGATAAAAAGAAGTCGCGACTGAAAAACGTTTAAGAAACCCTGCTTTATATGATACATTATTAATAATTTACAGACGCAGAATATTTTATTTTATTGTTACGATTAGTATACTTTATGAGGTGTTTTATGTTAATTAACCAATTATTAGGTATTTAAAACTTAACTAGACTTTTTCTTTCCGTAGAATGTTTCTTTCCTCAGAATTCAAATTAGTTGTTGGAGTATTTAAGCTCAGTGATGCGAGCTTCTGCCAGTCGTATCTCGCTGTTGTTTACTAACTTCAGCTCTACCTAAGTTGCATTTTCGGTTTTAGAGCCTTGCTAAATGATGTTTAAATTCGCGCCGATAACTATTTTGAGCCACTCTAGTTAGTTTACTTTATCTGTAGTCTTAGATTACATTACCTACATTTGAATTCAACTAATATAACTGTTATGTTAATGTCCTCAAGTAGATGAGTTTCCTCTGTGCATTTACGTTCATTTAAGACACAAACAAATTGGTTAGTTGAAACTATTTTATACTTCTTTTCGATTCTTCACTTTATGATTCACCATTTTATATTTCTTTGAGATTCTTCCCTTTGTGATTCACTATTTTATACATCTTTGAGATTTTGTACTTCTTTGTGACTTTGTGATTTGTTTCAGACTGTTTAAAACTTATAATTCGCTATCAGTTTAATAGGATCTGCAAAACATTACGCAAGCTTCTAAATGCATTAAAACCCTACAACTTATATTCTGGAAGGAAGAACGAAAAGTATGTTAACTCAGTTTTAGAAAAAAAAAATATTTCACAGTTTAAATAATAAGGCATTTGTACAATCTCCTCGCCTACAGATGCCTTTTTATTACTCAAAGGTAATTTTAATATGTTAATATGGAAACATTTTAAGATTAGTAATTAAATTATCGATAGTTATAAATTTCGCTGACACCGGCCTTTCGAATAAACTGTTAGTTATCGATTTCTTTGATTGATAGCTTGGAACTAAATGTTAATTACTGAATTGTATTTTAATTATATCTTCATTTACATTGAAACATTAGCAACCTGTTAAGAAAGGTTCATTGGTACGGTCCATAGGGAAGACAAAGTTGTAAAGGTCAATACTAAGCGATATTAGAAATAAATCCTTGCATTAATATGTCTTGAGGTTTCAGCAGTGCCCTAAATTTACTTCTGATTACACTCACTTTAAATTGTACCGAATTATTGACCTAATGTATTAGTGCCTTCTTGGAATATGTGGAAAAATACCAACTCAGTTCTTTATTTTAACGTTTTCTTTGTGAGAAAGAACAATTTTGTTTGCTGGAGAAACGCAGAACTTCCATTTACCTACAGAGTCGCAAAATTCAAGCTATAATTTCTTTTCTTAGATACCATTTTCCTTTGGTATTTCTATATTTGATTATTCTTTTCTCAATAAGGCGGTTCCAGCGGACGAAGAAGAGAAAATAATTATTAACGAAACATACTAAACGAAATACATACTAAATGGGATCTAGCAAATTTAACTATTTTACGGGGAAACTACTTGAGAGCATAGATTGTTTTGAGAATCGACAAGCTTGTCAGTGCCAATACTCAAAGTTCACATAAGATTCAGTATTCTGGGTATTCATGACTTAAATGCAGGGAAACAAAGAGTATACCCGAATGCGTTGCAAGAATCCTTTAAGTATAAATATCTGGATGGCTACATTATAATGGCGAAAATATAATGCATTAATACCTTAGCGATGATATATCACACAATTTATAATTCTTTTTATCACATCTGTGTACTTTTTAAAGCATATTTTGACATTTCTATTAGCTCCTCCACAGGTAAATCTAAATTTTAGATTTATGAATTCTATCTTAGTAAAAACAAAAAATCGTTTATAAAACTAACATATATATTTTTAATTATAGAACAATAATGTACTTTATTATGCATTTCATAATTTTACACGCATATGTAACTCAGTGACTTGGCAAACTCAAAGAAGAGACTTTGAGATGAGAATTAATTCCAACTCAAAATGAGTAAGTACCCGAAAAGACTGAAATCTAATTTTTACGCCGAAGACAGGTACTTATTACCGTTTAGGTGGGAAATCTAAAACGATTGCACGCTACTGCTGTTTCTACCATTGTAAAGTAGTTAAAAGATTTGAGGGATTGGGCTAAAATGACAGCAGTCATATTTACAATATTTACATTGAAAAATGACTAGTTTGATACAGTATTAAAAAGGAAATATAAACGTTTCAGTGATTCAGTGTGTAACTAAACGTACAAGTCGAAACCAGACTTTCAGTATTGCAGCTGTTTAACATAAATATGATTTTAATTAAATATTGAAATAATGTTAAAACAGTGAACAATCTGAAAGAAATTATTTATGTATATGCTTTCAGAGGAACGATAGATCTCATCCTAATACTTATTTTATTTTAGATGGATTCCTGAATTTTATTTAAGTTATTATTAAAGTTTTGCTTGTAGTAAGGAAATGGAAATCCGTCATTTATATACATTTTTATTACCTTCTTACTGCTTTACTTGCATTTCAACTCATATTAAAAAAAGTAACCTTCTTCTTCTTTATAGGTGCAAATGCTCTATGTTGAAGAAACAAGAAAGTACAGTTTGCAATGGATACTAGTTGAATCGCAAATAAGCCAAACATGTAAGTTGCCTTTTTGAATATTCTATAACCTATCTGAGCCCGAAAATGTAAAGTGAACCTCAGGGTTAAAGTAAAAACATTTGAATTTTAACAGTTCCTAGAGACTTCATATGCTAAATATTTATGAACTGTCTAGACTCTTTTGGAGAAACCTATTCCATTGGACTGCTTAATATTTCATGTGCATCTTAGAGGATGTGTAACACATCGCAAAAAGTACTGTGTTCCTCAGAGAGTAGTTTTCTGAAAAGCTATAAAGGTGTAATGAGTCGTTTTTCCTTCGTAATATCCTTTGCGGTTTACCTTATATGTGCGAAACTAGTGGAAGGTTTATAAAGAAGACACATATTAACAATAATACAATTAATCTTTCTTTCTTTTGTTATAATTAAGATAAAGGCTTAAGCAATGAATTAATTATATGCTGTAGCATGGCAGGAAAGAACTCCTTTTTAAATTTTTGGACAAATGTTTCCAGTAGCGAAATTTTTTTGAAAAGCTGAACACAGACTAATTTTAATCAGGGAAGCACACCGTTCGATGTTATTATTTAAGTAAATATAATGTATTAGGTTAATATTTACTTGCAAAATTTAAGCTAATACATTTTTGTACGTACCAGGAGAACGTTAGATAAATTTTTATTCTATAATAATTCATGGTTTTAACCCAAAATCTGTGTAAACACGAGATTTATAAAGTTTACCTAAGCATGCAATTAGTGCTGTTCTATGCATTTTCAAGAGGCTTCTGGCATTATTACTGGTTTAAATTTGAAATGGACTGCTTATACATTTTTTCATTTTGTAATTAACAAATGGCAGTCGTTAGTTATGTTGGCTGAAGTAAAAGTACTATACTTTGAAATGAAATTATGTATTTTCCATTACTAAATATGCTATTAATACGTACAGCTCATATTTGTTTCAAGTGAACCATTTAGTTAACTGTCTTAATCTTTGTAATGGACCTGATGAGCATAGAATAGTTTCTGGAAACTTAATTTAAGGCATAAGGAATTTTTTGAGTCAGATCCTTCTCGTTTGATATTATTAATTATTTCACTGTAATGAATGGTTTTTCTCTCAAAGCAGTGCGATCCCTAGCTCATACCGCGGCTCGGAAACTGCAGTATCTAATGCAGTAATCTGAAGCAGTAAGACACATTTTATCTGTTAAAATCCAACAGCACATTTTTCTCTGCATTTATCATATGCACATGAAAAAATGTTTTTGAAATAAGAAAAAGTGCTTTTACAGAATACAATTTATCCATCATAGCTTTTGTATTAAACCTGAATCAAATGCTGTTTTAACCACTTCAAAACACACTTCAAGAATTCATTTGTAGCCAAGGTGGATGTCGACACAGTTTTATAATTGCTCATACGTATTTCGCTAAGGTTTCATCGAAAACAAAATCATGAAAAACAAATGAAGCCTTTTTTATCTGGCGATTCTGCACAAAACACACAAAATTCACTATCTAAAGCAGCGTTATATCTATGCCATATGCATACCCAATTTAATTCCTCTTTTACAATTTTACTACGCTCATTTTTATATAAAGAAATTAAAGCCGGTAATTCATAACAGTGTTACCAACTGCATTCCTTCCTTCATGATATCTTATTCACATGATCACCACATCAAAAGCTTAATCAAGGTACACCACTCAATAGAAAAAATATTTATCTTAAAGTAATTTTTCTCAGACTATAACAAGCCATGAACATTTAAAATATTAATAAAATTTGTGTTATGTCATTATCAAAAACTAGAAATTTAAATCGGGACTATCTACCTCTTCATGATCAAAACCGGCAACCAATTTTCATGACTTGTCGGTGAAAGATTCATTTTCAGAAAAATCCCCTAAAAGAGAATATACTTCCTTTCCAATGAATGCATATTTATTATCATTATGAGTAAAAAATTCAGATAGGTAAAATGAAGCATTTATAATATAAATAACTCCTTTCTTGGTAAGGCACATACAGGCTGAGACAAAATTTGGGGGGGGGAATTTTATATTTAAAGTAAGGGTTGTTTAGAAGTGGTCAGGCCCTTTCTAGAATGGAGAAACGAATGTTAACTGATAACAGGTTTAAACACAGTGTGCATGTAATTTAATTATTCAGTACAAATATTTATGTTAGTACGCGCCGCTTAATGTGTTCACGTTTGCCCACAGCTATTTTAATAAAATTAACCAAATAATAACATTAATACACAAGTTAAAGTATTGTTCAAGACAACAATGGAACTTAAATATTTTTTCACAAACATAACTAAAACTAAACTAAACTAAACTCAGTAGCGCAACAGCTCTAGTGGGTCGTGGCCTGCAGTGGACCGATATCTACTTTCCTGACCATGGGCCCAGGGGTGCATGAGCATATGCCTTGGAGGAGTGGTCAGCTTGTCGCAACAAATATAACTAAAAATATATAAATAGATACGCATTCCATAGCATTTCAGTTATAAAAAAATGGAGAAGTTTGTTATAAAATATTCATAATGTTTTTGAGGCAAATGTTTATTTGTAAATAGTTCATAACGTAGTATAGCATATAAATATTTCGGGAATTTTGCTTTCATGAAAAATATTTTTTTTTTTTTTGTCCATGAAGAAGAGAAACCTGTGTCTGATGATGTTTAAAATCATCAGAAACAAATGTTAGATCTAGTATTCTTGGCTAACATACACTGCAGCTTGACCTACTTGAAAATTTTTGTAGCTACTTATCGCTAAGAACAGAAGATGAATACAACAGAAGAAGGGTGTAAAAGACTCTTTTATTGAACTCAAATTGTTTACAGACAGCTCAATCGTGCTTACAGAATCCACCGTTCACTTGTGGCAATTAAACAGAAGATAACAACAAACTAAACTAAATTAAAAAATAAGCTAGTAATTTAAGACTACACAATTTAGTTTAACCTAGCAGACTAACTCAGAAACCTACACCGGCGTGATGGCGTGATACTAACTTCGGCGGCAAGAATGCGAAGCCGATATTCAAAATTCAAACAGCGCTGGTAGAAATAACAATGCGCACACTCAATAGCGAAAACACGCTCTGACTAAACTTTTCGCTACTACAGTTTAAATGCACTCTCGTTCACCTTAGCTCTGGCGAGGAAACTCAAAAGAAACAAGAATGGTTAGAAAAGGCTCACAAATTAAAATAACTATTAGTAAAATAATATAAACCGTATATAGTTATTCAAAATCTAAGGCAAACTAAGACTACATTTTTGCCTGATTTTAAATGGTTGACTCAGATCAAAACCAAGACGTTAGGAGACTTAATTGCTTACTTGGCAGCATTTTTTTTTTTTTTTGTCACTTGGTAATTCTAATAACCCATCTTTACTTTACTTGGAGACTGAAAAATTCATTTTGTAATATTTTGATGATATTTACCGAATTGTTGATTACAGTAAGCCATGGAAGTTCTATGTTTTCGCATATAAATGGGCAGGAAATTGACAATTCGACAACATTATCCGAATGATAAAATTGTAAGATCATATTCGTTTATTATGATGCAACTGATTTGATCTTAATAGTAAGCTAAGCCTGGCGACTTCTCTCACTTATTCTCAAACTCTAAAGCAAAAAGACACGTACTTCGTGCTCACAATAATGCCGACTACTTGCGGTGTGATAATTTTACAATAAATTCGAAAAGGTAGATAGTAGTGTTAGACTGCACAGTTTACTTAAATCTAACAGGCAGATTTAGCAATCTACACTTAATAAACGGCCACAGTGTGTAGCCGCAACTAAGATTAATAGCTGGAAGACAAAATAGCAAACATGCGCTATACTAACGAAATCACGCTCTGTCTAAACTTCTCATTTCCTCTGTTTAGATACTCTTTTCACTTAACTTAATTTGCATCCTGGCGAGGCAATGGGAGGGGAAATAAGGAGTCCAGAAAAGATACAAAAATTAAAATAATTGGTTATTATGGGAAACCTTACAGCAATAACCGCGATTACGATAAGCAGTGTCTACTTCTCATACACTAAACATCACCTTATTGACTTCTAGCTAAATTTATAAGTATCTGACTCAAACATTCTACAGTTATTATATTAAAAGTGTTGTAATTATAAAAATATAACTTTGAAATAACGACATCTTGAGAGAGATTATATAACACCAGTGTTTGAAAAAACAGCTCTGGTAATTCTATCGTTAAAATACTAAAGTGTGGGGAGAAATTATTTCTGTTCTTTCATCTGTGGGATTCAAAAGGTAAAGCGTAGTTTATTTCAACCTACGCTTTGGAATTCCCTTTGAAGTAAATGTTTGTGCATTGTTTCAAATTTTATTGCAGTTTGGTACTAAAATACATTTTATTGTTCAGCATTTAATATAACTTAATTCCTAATTCATCAACGTAGAATGCTTGTAAGAACAGCAGAAAATAAAGTAAAATAAATCGTAATACTTGTTCTGCACACGATTTCTTTTCATATAGAATGACAAACTCATCTTTCCCCTAATTTTCGAGATTTGCTCTCCCGTTCTATGTTTCAAAGCGCAAGTTGACATTGATTAACTAAATTAATTCCAACTGATAAAAATCAGATAGCTATCCAATTTTTAAATTGTAATAAGGAAATACATATATCCATGATTTGTTTGCTAGCAATATAAGAATTACCACGTTAAATATTTCCCTTTTCGATTTTTTGAAAGGGTATAAATCAAATGTAATAAAAAGGAACAGAAATATATGTTTAGTTTAATATTTATTAGTGGATTCAATATTTATCGAAACCAGAAAAACAAAGCAACACATTAAAATATTTAGCATTATCTGTTTAATAATAGTTCCTTGAACATTATTTTTATCTATACAGATAAAAAACTCTGGAAGGCCTTATACAAATAAAAAATTTTCAGTCTGGATTAGTTGTAAACCTCATTTACATTTTAGTGCAAGTATGTTATTTTAGACGCACAAAGATCGTCAGAGGT